GCTAAGCGTTTCATATTTTAATCCAATCAAAACGTGCGTTTTACATTTAATCCAATTACAACATATTGTATATTTCATCAACGTGAATTCCAATTAGGCATTTTCGTTGGCTAAAATACATTTATAATGTATTTTAAATACATTTATAATGTATTTTAAAAGTCGTTTTTCAAATGTTGGTATTTCTGTAATCGTAACAAATGCTAATATAAAACTGTTTTAAATTGAGTTTGGGCTGAAATTTGGGGGCCTGGATACGTCGCTGTATATATACACACTTTGCAGAAGAATTTTTTTTCCTTGTTGTGGTCATTAAAATAAATTTTATCTACCATGAATGACCACAACAAGGAAAATAAATTCATATTTTGCTTGAAGTTTAGTCAACTTTTTTTCATCAAAACTTACACATGACAGATTTTTTTGTGTAAAGGACAATTAACACCTAAATTTTCTCCTTGAAGAAATGGAGAAAATTTAAGTGATGATATTTTTCAGTTTGTTAGAAAAATAAGTTTACTAATAAAAAATATAACTCATAGGGGAGAGTGTGTATGAAAGAGCCAGGTTTTGAAACAGCCGATGCTATTATATCTAACTTACTGGCACCTGACCATAATTGTATTTAACTTTTTATGTGGCAACACTGGATACCTGTCACCCACAAAAAATTTAGAGTTCTAGTAAAATAAATAGCGTTGTAAGGGTACACTAAAAATTTTAAAAATAAAAAGTAATTTTTTTTGGGTTTTCTTATTTATTTTTAAGATAAAGGGTATTGTATTATTTGATAAAACATATATGCTGCATTGTTATATATATATGTGTCCTTCTTTTCGACAAATAATATTAGATTAAAGTTTCGGTATAATAAGTTTAATTTCAGGTTATTTTTTTTAATATAGAGTTTTTTGAAAAAGTCACTTTTTTATGCTATGAAAAAGCCTTTTCTATTTAGCTTTTTTTTAAATTAAATAACTGTTTTGCGCTTTAGCAACTTCATTGTTTTTCGTAATGCTTCATTGTTCATATTTTATTGAAATTAATTGTTTGAATGACTTTTCCTGAAGTCCTAATACTTTGGTGCGTTTTAACTTTAAAAAATATATCCAAATATTAATAAAGTTTTTAATAGTTTAAATAACTTTTTTTTAATAATTAAAATTTATTTTTGTTTCAAACTTATATAATATTTTGTTCTTTTGACTAGTGTATATTAATGTTTTTATAAACATTTGACTAGTGTATATTAATACTTTTGTTTTTCTCATTTAACATTTTTTATCTTTAAAAGAAAAACATGTCTTCACAAGTATTAACTACTAAAAAGCGATAAAGGCCCACAGCTTCAGCAATAGAAAAGGCTGTAAGGGAAGTGAATGCTGGCAACCAGTCCATCAATAAAACAGCATTATTGTTTAGAATATCAAGAGGCTATTTAGCAAAAGTGGTTAAAAAGGCTAAGAATACTGAGGATGAGTATGTGCATCGCCCAAATATATTTTTTCTAAACATCGAGAAGATTTATTAGTTTTGTATCTTAAAACTGTATCTAAAATGTGCCACGATTTGACGAAAAAACAAGCAAGGGAACTAGCTTTTCATTACGCAGAGGCAAATAATATTTGTCCTGAAACATGGAAGGATGATAAAATAGCATTTGTGGAATGGCTTCGTGGTACTATACCTCCAGTGATAATTTTTCCTCAAGTAAATTATAAGGATCACATGTTGAATAATGGGCTTTCTGGAGCATTAGGTTTAGCTCATGTTTCAGGATGGATGACTGAAAATAATTTTGTGAAAGCAATAGAACATTTTGTAAGTCATGTAAAACTAAATAAAGAAAATCCTGCCCTATTAATATTAGATAATCATACCTCCCATGTTAATCTTCGTGTGATAGAATTAGCCAGACAACATTTTGTAAAATTTCTAAATTTTTCACCACATTGTAGCCATAAGTTACGGCCTTTAGATGTTACAGTGTATGGCCCATTTAAAACAAGATCACGAATAGCTATGAATGAATGGATGCTCTCAAATCCTGGAAAAACAGTCAGGTTACGCAGTTTGCTAGAGATGCTTATTTAGCCACTTTCAGCATGAGAAATATTACAAATGGATTTATCAAAGCCCGCATTTACCCTTTAAATTCCAAAATATTTTCTGATGATGATTTTCTTACTTCTTACATAACTGATAGACCTGAGCCAGTTTTTTTAAATGATGCTACTCCACAAAACTTGAGATTCTCGACACAAGGACTCAGCACTGCCCATATTGATACTTCAGATGCTCTTGGAAACTCAAAAGTTAAACTAACAAAAACAAATAGTTTGGCTAAAAACATCACATCGTCAGAATCTTTAATACAGCCATCAACATCACAATAACAAGTGGTTAGCCCTGAAAATGTAAGGCCTTTTTAAAATCAGGACCTAAAACGAATTTAAAATCTAATGATCGTAAAATGGCCTCAGCTATAATCACAGATACTCCAGAAAAAAATAAAATCAAAGAGAAAGAAACAAAAAAACAACCTAAAAGAAGTGTTATTAAGAAGACTAAAACAAAAAAATATACAAAAAAACACTAAAAAATATACAAAATGATTCCATTAACTCTACCATATCATTGCATGATGATGCAAGCTCAGGTGCTGAAATACAGTTATCAGAATTTAAAAAAAGTATGTTTGAAGACGATAGTATAAATCATTGTATTGTATGTAATGGACAATATGATAAGACCAAGGAAGAATGGTACCAGTGCAAAGTGTGTGAAGGATGGGCACATGAATCTTGTGGCTTCAAAGGTGGGATTAACTTCTTCTGCCAAAAACTTTTTTTTAGTTTTTGATGTTGTTATATGAAGATTTTTTTTTAATAATAAAGTGAAACTATTATTAAAACTGTTTTATCATTTGTTTCATCATTGATTATAATAAAATTATATAACTTAAAGTACTTTTTTATTCTGATTTATTATTTTTTATCTTTAAAAAAACCAACATGTCTTCACAAGTATTTACCACGAAAAGCTATAGCACCCTAGCCCCCCCATCCCCCTCCTTGATCCGCTACTGCTTAAAGTACAATCTGATTTTTAGAAGTTTTGTTAACAGATTATTACTCTTAAAAGAGTTAGTTTTAGAAAAAAACGTTACGGCTCATTCACAGCACAGAGTGGCTTTTTCATTGACAGGATGTTATGAAAGAGCTGATTTCTCTCTTTTTTAAAAATAGGTGTACGATAGATTATTAGCATTGTTATCCAATTTATTTTATTTTATAATATTACCCAATAATGTAACTGTTTAATTAAAGAAAATGTTTTTTTTTTAAATTATTTAAAGTTGACTTTTTTTCATACCCCCTAAAACTGGCTCTTTCATACACACTCTACCCTATATGACTACATAACTACATATGATACTAAAAACTACATTTAACTTTTTAAGCAATTTTATGCATAAATATAGATATATGCATATAAAATTATATGCATAAATGATTATTTGTATTATATGTGATTTATTATAATATAATTGTTTTTAATTTATAAAATTATAAAATTATAGTTTAGGAATTTTATAAAATTTAAGTATGGAATGTAAAAAAGTTTTTGTAGTATAAGATGATAAAATCTTATAATCTTTATTATTTTGAAGCTAATTTATAATTTAAAAAAAGTTTCTGTAAAAAATTTTGAGCAGGTACCTAAACAACTATTTTAAAATAAAATATTGATAATAACTTTACAATTAACTAAGTAATTATTTTTAATAAATTTTTATTATATAAAGATAAATATATTTTTTGCAGCCAGGTTGAATTTTTTTAATTTTCTAGCCTATAATAAACAACATTAGACTAGGTATATTGAACAAACAATTATTTCTTAACTTTAATAAGCAGAGATTTTTTTTGTTGCTAAAAAAAATGTTTGTGAGAGTTTCAGTTATTTCAGTCAAATCTTTGCTTTGAATAATTTGATTCCAAGTTAAAAGTCCATAGGGTTTTGTTTTTTGTTTGAGGTTAATAAGGCTTAATGTTATAAAAAAAAAAGGAATAGTGTTGCAAATGAATTTCATGAATAGTGTCGAAAATAAAAAAAAGGTATAGTGTCACAAATGAATTTAATAAATAGTATTATAAAAAAAAAAGAAAAAAGAATAGTGCTGCAAATAGTAAAAACGGAATAGTGTCGCAAGTAGTTAATTTCAGCAATTGCTTACTCATTTTGCTTATCTTTATAGCATACAGCTTTTACTTGACAATCAATAATGTGACAATTTGCGACATTCTTCCTTTTTTACATTTTTGACAATCAAATTTGTGACTATCAAAATTTTGTGACACTATTCCACTACACTGTTGTCCCCATGTTCCTTGACTGTAGTAGCCTCCATGCCCTTGGCTGTAGTAGCTCCCATGCCCTTGAGGAAGTAAACACACTTAAAAAAATGTAAAGGTTTGTTTTATGAGGTTAAGCTTAATAGAGCGCTGTAATAGCATTTTAAAAAGTAAAATATCTCAACATATGAATATATAATATAAATAGCATTAAAATTGGCCTTGTGGAGGTTTTTAAAAACTTGAAAATTTTGCTTCTTTAGTTCTTTAGAGTTTATTTTGCATAATTATTCAATAAATTATACAATAAAATTAGCTTAATTATTCAATAAATTATACAATTAAGTTTTGAATTCTAAAAACCTCAATTTTTAATTGACCCTATATAATAATTTGGTAATCATAATCTGGTAATCACAGATAAAAATTATTTTAAACAATATCTGTAAAATGTAAAACTTATTAAAAGTATTTATACATAGTACATATTTTATGAAATATTTAACTTTATAAGTATTTATACATAGTATACATTTTATGAAATATAAGCACTTAATAAAAGTATTTATACATAGTATATGTTTTATGAGATTTTAAAAATAAGTTTATAAAGTATTGTAAAAAAAAGTATTATTCTTCCAACAGGCTGAGGAAAGAGCTCATGCAGCTGAACAAGCTTTAGAAGAAATGAAAGAAAAATTGACTGCTGCAAGCGAGGTTTTCATATTTTTATAGTGTATATGTTATTAAAAAGTCCCTCTATCTCTTTATTAAAACTTACATGCCTTGTATGAAAATGTTTTTAGAGGTTATTTTCAAAGCACTAATAATTTTTCTTTTTATTTCTTTATAAAACATTTAAAAAATATTTTTTAGTCACCTTTTGTTAGTGGCAACAGAAAACTTAAAAATGAAATTAAAATCAAGGTATGTATGTTGAATTTCTTTATAAAATGAATTATATATATATATATATATATATATATATATATATATATATATATATATATATATATATATATATATATATATATATACATATATATATATATATATACATATATATATATATATATACATATATATATATATATATACATATATATATATATATATATATATATATATATATATATATATATATATATATATATATATATACATATATATATATATATATATATATATATATATATATATATATATACTATATATATATATATATATATATATATATATATATATATATATATATATATATATATACATATATATATATATATATATATACATATATATATATATATATATATATATATATATATATATATATATATATCTATATATATATATATATATATATCTATACATATATATATATATATATATATATATATATATATATATATATATATATATATATATATATATATATATATATATATATATATATATATACAGTGGTGGCCAAAAGTCTTGGAACAAAACACTTAACGACCAAAAAAATTTATTTTTGATCTATAAAGTATAAATTTTGAAGATTTGATGCTTTTATTTTTACATAGCAATATGTTTATAGTTACATATTTGTATATTGCGCAATTTATTATCGTTTTTTGTTATTCATAAACAATTTATCAGCTATATTATGCCAGAACTTTCACCTAAAAAAAGAGGAATTATTGCTGCATTATATGAACAAGGTTTAGTTCAAAGAGAAATATCTGAAAAGCTTGGTTGTTCATTATCAACTGTAACTAGAACTTTAAAAAGGCATAAAGAAGAGCCCCAATTAAATTTTACTTCAAAGATGAGATCAGGCAGGCCCAGAGCAACCACCTCAAGAACTGACAAACTTATTGTCCGGATCAGCCATGCCAATCCACGGCTATCTGCACACGAGATTTTAAAAGAAATTTTTATTGAGAAAAAAGTAAGTGACCGAACAGTTAGAAGAAGGCTTTTGGTTAATTTCAAAATGAAGGCATGCAAGCCAGCAAAAAAACCTTTTTTATCATTAAAAAACCTAAAAGATTAAAAACATTTTGTCAGCGCTACAAAAATTGGGCTAGAGAAAATTGGTCTAAAGTTATTTTTTCTGATGAAACATGTATTAAACAATTTAATGTTACAAACAACTTTGTAAGAAGACCAAAAAACTGTAGATATATGCCAAAATATACAGTTAGCAGTGTCAAGGCTCCTGTGTCTTGTATGGTTTGGGGTGCTATTTCTGCCAAAGGACGTGGGCCATTATGGATAATGCCCAAGAATACCGCAATAAACAGCAAAGTCTATTTGGATGTTATGAAGGAGAAGTTGCCACCTTTCATGCAGATCTTGAACTGCACTTATTTCCAACAGGATGGTGCACCATGCCACACAGCCAAAATTGTAAAGAAGTGGTTTGCTGATGAAGAAATTCAAACCCTTGAAAATTGGCCTGGGTCATCACCAGATCTTAATGTTATTGAAAATTGTTGGCATATTATGAAAGTAAAAGTTGCTGCCAAAAAGCCTAGATCCTATAATGATTTAGTTGAAGCAATCAAATCAGTGTGGATCCATGAAATTACACCAGACTATTGTACAAAACTTGTTAACAGCATGCCAAAACGTATCCAAATGGTAATTGACAATAACTATGCTTCCATTAAATATTGAACTTTTATCATGTATGTGCATGTACCTATCATCTTTAAAATTGTTATAAACACTTATTTTATTGAGAAAAAAAAAAAAATTTACTAATAAATTGTTTTTCACACAAATATATTGATTTCATAACATAAAATATGATGTTCCAGGACTTTTGGCCACCTCTGTATATGGGTGATTCTGCAAGAAATAGAAAGAAAAAAAAAAGTAAAGCAAAAAGGTTATGAAAAATACTTTTAATTAAAAAAGTTATTTAAAAAAATCATTTTATCATACCCTAATATAGTTTAATAGGTGTAAGGGTTGTAAAAACGTGTTTTTGACATTTATTTACAGTCCATTTACAGCATTAAAAACAGTATCATAAAGAATTGAGAATTGAAATAATCTAGAATTGAGAATTGAATTAAACTTTGATAATGTTATAGTGCATTTTTTAAAGATAATTTACATGGTTTTAAATAATCATTTATACTTTTTTTTTAAATGTTATTAATGTATATATATATAAATATATATATATATATATATATATATATATATATATATATATATATATATATATATATATATATATATATATATATATATATATATATATATATATATATATATATATATATATATACAGTGGGTGCTCATATTATTAGAAACACGACCAAGTTTTAAAAACTTTGTGAATTAAGTTCAAAATTAACAAAACATTTTAACAAAATAATTTTTTTTATTTTACAAATAGTATGTATCTACCTTTTACTTTAATCTGGGAGTTTGGCAACATTGCATTTCATCTCATTATGAAGTTATAGGGTTATTTCCCGAATTTTGACAATTTTGGCAGTTATACCTGTGTTGTTGTTGTGTGAAGTGCTGTTTGTGTATTGCTCTTTTTTTAAAGTTTTCAAAGATTTTTTTATTGTTTTGTTATTGAGTTCTATTTATGTGTCTATTTTTTACAGTTAAACATGATTAAATCAATATTTTTACATATAATTTGACTTCTATAACGGTTTACTAGAATCACGTGTTTTTTTCAATATGGGAAAGGCAAAAGATGTTTCACCCTCAAAAAAAAGAGAAGTTGAAGCATTATTGAAGAATACTTCTTATTCTCAAAGGTGTATAGCATCAATGACAAAGGTTTCAGTGGCAACAGTCAACCGAATAAAAAAAAATCTGGACAAAAATGCTGATTATACTCCTCAATGAACAGAACATTGTGGTAGAAAATGGCTAACAACACCAAGAGACGATAGAGAAATACGAGATATTTGCCTAGAAAATAGGAATAAGCCTAGGCAAATACTAACCACTTTAATACAAGATGCTGGAATACCAGTATCTCCAATGACAGTTCGTCGCCGACTCAAAGAACAAGGATTTTGATGCTGTCGACCTGCTAAAAAGCCTAAGCTCACTCTAGCAATGCAACAAAAACGCCTTGCTTGGGCTAAAAGTCATCGGCATTTGACCGTCGATGACTGGAAAAAATGTAAGTACTTCATTTATAATTGTACACATTCCATTTAGAGTTTTGCCTACATTAAAACTTTGACTTATAAGTTTTTTTGATGTTGTTTAGGTATGTTTCTTGGATGAATTGACAATCCAGATATTGATGAACAAATCACAGTTTGTGCGTAGACAAGCTGGGGAAAAATTCCACAAAGACTGCATCTTAGAACGTGTAAAGCATCCTCTAAGTATAATGGTATAGTCTGTCATTAGTGAACATGGAACAGGGCACTTATATATCGTTGAGGGAACTATGCGCCAGGACCAATACATAAAAGTTCTTGACACAAGATTGGTACCAAAGTTGGGCAGATGTTAAATGCATCCCGCTACTGTCTTGTAGAAGGCCTTCCTAGGCAAAGACTTAAAGAGTTAACAGATTCTATCTGTTAACTAGCCTGCCCCCTTTCTTTATCTATTAGGCTGGCGCAGATGTAATTTTGTTTAATAATATTGTTTCCAGTTTAGGATGTTGAATGCTGGATCTTCTTGACTCAATGCATGGTTTTTGCTTGTGTCTCTATTTTTGTAACTAGACAACTCATTCTATTATCTCCTAATGAGGGTACAGCTCTAAACCTCAGTTTTATGGTTCTGAGGCCGGCTGATAGTTGGGTTTTTTGAACTCTGATTTTAGGTTTTTTGAACATCAATATCATCTCTTAATTCCATTAGTTACGTTCTACCTGATATAGTTGTCAAACAGGTTGATCCGTTGTTTGACATTCATATCACTTCAGCTTCTGTATCTAAAGTGATTTCCTGCTTAGACTCTTCTACAGTTTGTGGCCTGGACAACATGCCTGTTATTGTCTTGCAGAGGTGTTCTTCGGAGCTATCGTCTATACTTTCAAAACTATTTAACAAATGCTTATCAGAGTCTTGTTTTCCAGCCTGCTAGAAAGCGGCATCTTATCCCTATTTTCAAAAATTCTGGAAAGCGATCTGAGTCGTCTAACTACCGTTCTATCTTTTTCCTATCATAAGCAAGGTTTTTGAATCTTTAATTAACAAACACTTAATCTCGAATCTCGAATCTCATAACCTACTTTCTGATCATCAGTATGGATTTCGATCTTCTTGTTCTACGGCTGATTAGCTATCAGTAATAACCGATAGGTTTTATCGCGCATTAGATAAAGGTGGAGCGGTTAAGGCTATTGCTCTTGACATTTCTAAAGCATTTGATAAAGTTTGGCATGCTGGTCTCCTCCATAAGTTTTCTTCTTATGGTGTATCTGGAAACATCTTTAAGATTATTGAATCCTTCTTTTCCAATTGTAGTATAAAAGTTGTCCTTGATGGACAGCACTCTTCTTCTTATTCTGTAACCTCGTGGGCTCCTCAAGGTTCAATCCTTGGGCTTATACTCATTTTAATTCACATTATAGATCTTCCAGATATTCACACATCTAAGGTGGCATTGTTTAGACTTCCTTCCTATATTTATGAATGGTAATGTACTTGATGAGTCATGTACTGTTGCCATATCTGGGACGGATCTCCTAATGACACCCTTTCTCTTTTAGACAAGGTACAAAAGCGCATTGTAAACATAGTTGGACCTGCTTTTGCAGCCAAACTTGAACCATTATCACATCGTTATAATGTTGCTTTTCTTTCTCTTTTCTACAAATACTATAAAGGGCACTGCTCTAAAGAGTAAGCGCCTCTTGTGCCATCAGCTAAAATTCATTTTCATGTTACTTGTCATTCAATTAAGTCTTATCTTTTTTTGTGACTAAGTGCTCCAA